GTCTTTGAAGTAGGTTTTAATGTTCCTTTTAAGATGGAGTACACATGCGCAGTGCCTAGCAGAAGGGTAGACCTACATAGAAAAAGGAAAAAAATAATTAGAAAAATAGTGAGACAGGGAAAAATTACAAGTTTTTGGTATGAAACTTACTGAATGCACAATAGTCAGAAATGTAAGACCAATGAAAATATAGATGGCTATTTAGGATCATGAAATTGTTAAATAGATATAAAGCAGTAATATACCTTTTCAATGCCAGCATATATGGAAGCATGTCTATCGGAGATGAAAACAATATCATGCGAGTTTGGTACTATTTTCATCAAATTACGTAGGAACCACTCCCATGCCTTGTCATTTTCGCTATCGACAATAGCTACAGCCAAAGGAAAAACCTGGTAGTTTCCATCTTGAGCTGAAGCAGTGAGCATACATCCAGCATACTTACCCCTCAAATGAGCACCATCTACAATTACAACCTTTCTCATGACCGAGAAGCCGGTAACAGAGGCACCCAAAGCGAAAAACATATACTTGAATCGGTGACCAACACCTTCCACGTAATCTGTTTCAAGTTGAGTCAAAGTTCCCGGGTTTGCATGAACAAGTCTTGCCAAATAGTTGGGTAAAAGATTATAGGAAGCACCAGATGTTCCTTGCCCATAATCTAGAGCCACCTCTCTAGATCTCCATGCCTTCCAATATGAAATTCGGACATTGTGATCACCCTGCATTACCTGCATAATCTCGTGTGGCTTAGGTCCACCTCCGGATCCGGAAAACGTAGCCTTCATCATTTCACCAATGACAGAGTGAGTGGCTTGAGCTTGATATCCTACAAAAGCAAGTTGAAGGGATGTAAACCAAATGTTTACAGAAGATTAGATGGGAAGAAGAAGGTGAATAATGTTCCATAAATATTGTACTATTAAACGTGGAAGTTTAAAACATATCCGGTTTTAGTCGTAGATATTACCGGTTAATATTTTACTTTAATTATTGAATTTACCGGATATTCTTTTCCTTTACAGGAACAATTTGTAAATGAAAAGCGGATAATAATAGGGAAGTGTTTAAGGTGTACAAAACCCAAAAAAACCTTCAATTATTTTTACAAACTCATATATTGGATTTAAGTTGTGCAAATGAGTTAAGAGGTGTACAAGTAGAAATAGTTACCTATGCAAAATTCTGATTTTGCAATTATCAAATGACACGAATTTTAAAACCGGTTATCAACCAGATTTAAGAGCTAATATTTGTTTCAGGATCTGGTATATTAAGTGGTTACTCATATGTAAATTACAATGAATGATGATCCCCTATAATATGTTAAGGTACCATTTGTAGTGTTTCTAGTCGTACATATTATCCTGGTAGTAACACCATTTAACCGGATAATTTCTAACTTTACAGTAAGAACCGTTAAATAAAACCCGGATAATAGTAGGGAAGTGTTTAGTGTGTTCCCAAAAAAAAAAACAGGAGAATTATTTTAAAAAATCATATATAGGATTTTAGTAGTCCAAATGATTGAACGGATGTACAAGTAGAAATATTTACCTATGTAGATTTCGTATTTTGCATTTAACAATTGACTCGAACTTGAGAACCGGTTAACGACTTGTTTAAGAGGTAATATTTGTTTCATGTTCTGGTATGTTAAGTGGTTGCTCATTAGTAAATTAGAAGAATGATGATCCCAGTTAATAAAAATATTACCCGCCGAAACTGTGAAAACAAAATAGAGATAGTAAAAAAGTTTAATAAATAATTTGGGTGTATCACATGTTTTTGGTTAGGTTGATTGGTCAATTAAAACCTTTGGTAATGGAAGACACATAAAACCGGATATAAATAGTTTGGGTGTATCACATGTTTTTGGTTAGGTTGATTGGTAAATTAAAACCTTTGGTAATGGAAGACACAGAAAACCGGATATCATATTTTTTATCGATGAGAAACATTTAAAAGATGCTAATAAATTGTTTTGACGTATATACCTTCACGTATGAAACTAACAAAGTGATATTGGGGTATTAATTACAAAGGAACATAACAAATTCGGAAAAACCCAAACTTAGCTCGCATGTTAAAAGTAAATAATTTTGTTGGATAAGTTTAAATCCGGATATCGATTTCGTAATCCATAACAAACATTTGTAAGCCGGTATATGATATTATAGTTACACATACCTGCTCGGTCATCCACAGAACAAGAGTGCTGAGAATCTAGACGACGTATTTCATACACATCGACATTCTTCAGGCGTACAGCGTATACACGCCACTTACAAGTCTTGCTATAACACCTTAACACCATGCCATCGGGTGCAGATCGTGTGACACGGAAGCGGAACTTGTTTCTTATAGCATGGATGGCAATGTGGTGTTTGAAAGCTACTCTTGATTTGAAGGTCATGCCTATGAAAATATCATCTGTTTGATTGTTTCCAATCCCTACATTTAGACAATAAACATGAAAGTGAAAAACAGGGTATGAGAGTGGTAACATTATTAAACAAGGTTTATAAAACTTAGTCCAAAATATTTCACAACACATTGCCCGTTAATGGGCATGAAAAAAAAACACACACTTCCGAAGGCACACATAGATATTGCAGATAGTCTTACACACATTAAGGTGGACGTACAAAAAAGGACATTATTTAAACTTAGATAACTAACGCGGGGTTCCAAACACACCAGTTGCATCGCCCACTTCCGAGGAAGAGTCATCAACGACAACAATCGTCGGTCCTCCACGCTGACTGCCAACGCCTAAACTTAGGTCGAGAGATGGACCACCACCATCCATTTCCACATCATCAGAGACGAGGTTGTCAGTATCTTTCTTGGAAGATGATTTCTTTCTTGATTGGGTCAAAGAAGTAGGACCTGCTACATCGATAAATACGTTATGAAATATGGTTATTGTAACTTTTGAAGTCTTATATTATATATAAACCAGAGAGTTCTACGTACAGGTGTCACCAGTGAGTATATGGCACTCATCGGATGAGTCAGAGAAAGAGAGAGCAACGGCTTTCGGTTGGAAGACAACACGATTGGACGGTGGTGGTATCTCTGCCGATATGGAATGAATGGTCTGTCCAGGTATAGGAGAAGTTGGGCAGGGTAAGATAGGAGGTGTAGAAGTGGTAGCATTGACCTCATAAAACGCTTCCCAGTCATTAGCATCGTCTCTCATTTCAGGACAATGAGGATGTGGCTTGTTGAGATAACGTGCTCTCTCAACGTCAAGACTAGCACCTCGGAATATGTCAGAGGAGTGATCAGGAGAGACAGGTGTGAAGGGCATCTGTTGCGACGGGTTTCCATCAAGAGCTTGGTCACGAAATGAAAATAACAAATATCAGTCTCACAAATAAAGAAAGTATAGATAAAGTACATAAATATGGTAACATGAGTGATGAATAAGTATTATGAATGATGTGATAATCACCAACTAGGTTAGCAGGAGCGGGGGTGGGAGATACGGTGGGGTTAACAAGAACGTCAGCATTTGGGAGATTTCCAGCAAGGGAGATTATAGGCAGATGGGGTTCCATGTTGCGGACCGTGGTGGTTGCATCATTAGCAGGAGCAGAGGAGAGAGCAAGGTCAATTTCCATGGAAAGCCGGTAAATGCCAAGCAGCTGTTGTTGGTCACATAAAAGCTCCAACATCCTTGTAGCACAGCTCATTGGGCGCCTTCCAGATAGATCTGCGTGAAGGTAAAAAACTTTAAACACGACCTCTATATTTGATAAATAGTGTGATGAGAAAGATAAAGTTAACTTTTGAAGAAAATTAACCTCTAATAAACTGACGATGCGCGGCCTCGGAGACGCCAGGTTGAAGGAAAGTTGTGTTTCCGAGAGTGAAAGGAGTACGGCAAAAGAACTGGTAACGAGCAACATCTTCAGGACCAGAGGTAACGTAGAGAACAAGCACCTCATCGAACTCACGAACACTCATCATCACTTCAACATCTCGGGACTCAATAATGTTAACAGGTTGAGGTCTACGTCCGTCGGGATGAAACATCCACTGAGGAAACTGGTAGGTTAACGCAATGGGAGTATCGGGACCCAGCTCCAACCTCACCCGCACAATAGATTGCAAGTCGTCAAAAGACTCATTCTCGCGGACGAGAATAGCTTCTCCATAGTAGTCATTACTGTTCACAAAAGACCAGTTTCCCAACTCCGATTTTACCCACAATCCTTGTTCAAGGTGCAAAATCCTTCCCATCTGTGAAAACAAATAAGTGATTGTAAGTTTAAAAGGAAATAGATCGGCGAGACGGTATATTTTTATATGTTAAGAAGATAAATTTCGAAATTAGGGTTCATATTAAAGACCCCACAGTACCAAAAATAGACCGACAACCTTAAAGCTCTTAGAGAAAAGCAAATAGATACAAGGATTACCTTTTGAGGAGAGATTCTTCGAACTCCCGGTATAAACTTTAAGAAACTGGAAAAGTATTTTTTTCCTGATGGAAGATGAAGACAGGGAGTATTGATTTATAGCAAGATGTGTGGTGGAAACCGGAGATATAAACACATATACACGGGTGATGTGAATCCAGCTCATATCGTAGTCTGACCCTATAACATCATAGGAGTCTTGTTTTAGCCGTCTGAAATGACGTGAACTGACACACATCATGTATTTAAATTCAATTTTGCCATCTAGTTTCCCTCCATAGCAAACCGGCCTGACATAAAATTAGGGTTTGAATAATTTTGGTTAGCATTAGTCAAATAATTGGTAACTACCAAAGAATAGCATCGAAAGACGATTACGGTTAAACCAAACCAAGAAGATATTTTACTTTGATCAGTCGGATGACTGACACCTGTCTTGGCTTTTGGAATTTGCAAGGGGCACTAGTAGAAAAGGTCAGAATAAGCAAAGTGTAAAAATCGGTTCTTCGTTTCCCAACACACACAGCAACACAAAACACATCTTCTGTAAGAAAAGTCAAGAAGATGAGTAAGTCAACGTCTGCATCCTCTTCATCTTCAAGTGGTTTAAAGACACTTGTTCCTGGACCACCATGTTGGTGTTCAAGACATACAAACGTGACAATGTCATGGTCAGACGAAAACCCGGGGCGGCGTTTTAACCGTTGTGAGGTCCACGGATTTGTCAGCTGGGTTGACAAAGAAGAACCGTCAACCTGGCAGAAGGTTAGTTTACTAGAGGCAAGAAATCAAATCAGGCGCTACAAACGGGAAACAACAGATTTGCGAGCAACTTTAGCGGAAACCAATGCTGTGATCGAGTCGTTACGATCTTCTACAGAAAGGAACGACGAAGTGGAAATACAGCCATGTGGAAACCAAATTGGTGAGCTATGGGAGGGGTCAAAGAAAACAATGCGAACCATGTTCTTCATCACCTGGATTCTGATGCTAATTACAACAGCAATGATCATTATCAGTATTTCAAAATGAGTCGGTAGTCGAGTTCATGCATTTCGCGTTATTAGTCAATGTTTTCTTATT